AGATATTTTAAAATGTGAGACCACAAGTACCCACGCTGGTTAGAATCAGGTGATATGTTTTTGGTCCAATTCTGCCTTTTACTGGTTGAGATTATCTTGGAAATGTCCCTTAAACAGTCTGTTACCTTATAGGGTTGCTTTGAGGATCAAGTGTGGTCATGAAACACAAGTGTTCAACTGCAAACCATATGTAAATTTTAACTACTATTGTTTTAGATGAAGTCACACAGTTGTTATTGGTATTAAACTAACACAAGTATGTTATTTAATATATTTTCTTAAAAATTCCTTAATCAGCATTTCTTTTATTAGAGTAAGTCAAACTAAAGTTTACTGTTGCTTTTGATTACAAAAGTCAGATTCTAATACTTAAAGCTAGCAATATAAAAAATTGTCATGTGCTATTTAAGAGGCCGTGTGTGTGTGTGTGTGTGTGTGTGTGTGTGTGCGCGCGCACACCTGCCCGCTTGTACTTGCTTCATCTCTCCGCTTCAGAGGTTTAAATGAATATGCATTTTGAAATTGTCTTTTCTTAGATGGAGAGGTTGATGGAGCAACTGGAAAGAAGAAGAAGAAGAAGAAGAAGAAGAGAGGACGTTAGTGTCTTAAGTTAATCTTACTTGACAAGTTAGAAGTGGTTACTAACCAGTAGGTTTGAAGTTGCTTAAGATCCTGGTATATGTCAGGGAAATAAATTTAGGTTTAATGGAGGTAGGATTTAGTGATACTCATATCTATTTTGCAAGTACTTTTGTTTAACAAACTTGATGGCACTTTTTAAACTGATATTCAGCTAAAGGATGTTAGTAATAGGTTGGTTGTGTTTACTGCAAGTTAGGGATGAGTTCCTAAAAATTTTTTTTTTAAACCCAAAATGTATTTATTTAATATATTCATCACAGAGGCTCAACCAGACTTAATTTAAAAAACAGAAGCAAAACAAATATGACACCACAGCTGAAGATACAGAGTCCTATACAGAAATCAAGGCAAGGACAGACCATCTAAGGAAAAAATAAAAAGACAGCACAAGGAGAGAGGCTGGACAGCCCCAGTCAGGGCTCTTGGCTGGAGACCTGCTTTGTGTAGGTTTCTTGTAGGTACTTCTTGAAGGCTGTGGGATTTTTCCAGAGCTCCGCAGCATATGTGTTCAATGGGCTATCAATGTTGGGTTCTCCTAGCAGGCTCTGGATGGAGAGCAGGATGGTCCTGACATCATATAGGGCAGACCACTTGTCCTTTAAGATGTCCAGGCAGATGTTACTCTGGGTGTCTATGTTGGGGTGGTAGCAGGGCGTGAGGAATTTCACCATGGGTGTGTTGTACGGGTTGCCACTGGGGAACTCCAGGGAGAGCTTATACCTCAAGTCTTCATATACTGTGCCAGCTGCTCCATGGATGGTCCCCACCCATTTGAAAAGGTTGTCTGATTCAGGGAAGGCAGAAATTCCTTTGTCGCCAGAAATTCCAGGGTCATCAGCTCCTGCTGTAACCTCTTGCCCACGGGCCCCCATGCGGTGCCCTCGCTGGGTTTGGCTCCTTTAGGAGCTGTGGCAACGCTGGTGGCGGCTGGGTCGCGGTTCTGGGAGGCCATCCGGGCAGTGCTGACAGGGACACAGGAGCTTGGAGAACAAGACTGTAACTTCTAAAAATCTTATGATTTAAATCTTGAGTAAGTCAAATAAGTCTTGGGGATGACTAAAGTACCACCATGTGGTAATAGGATAAAGTTTGCAGTTCACCTGCCAGCTTTGAAATTATGGAATTCTTGATGAATATTTAATGTTGAAATATTATTTAAAATTTGTGCATATGGTGAAATTTTATTACTAATGTTTATATTGCACTATTTCAGATTCATTAAAATATGATCCTACTGGTATTTTGTTTTTATAAAGGGCATAATCAGACATCTTCAGGGACCTTAAACTGTATTAGGCAAACTAAAGGGGAAGACTGTATAGTATTGGGGAAGAGGAGTTGAGAATCAGAACAGTTATAATCTTGGAGGAGTCCCCTTGAACTATTGGGGTCCATGAGTTCTGGTTGTATCTTTTAAATCTTTCAGGCTAAAGTTTTATGAATCAGGATATTGGGGTCTTGACTTCCCTTTTTATCTCTGTTGAAAGAAATACTTAAATTATTGTTCAGAAAGATAATGGCTCTGCCAGCCATTTCCCTGATATATCTCCAGGTAGAGATGGGATAGCCTTCTTTCTATTCAGGCATGTATCCATATTAGATCTTTATATTCAAAGGATGTCAGTTCTGCCCCTAGCATAGTCTATATTTAACGAACATAGGTTACTTGCATTCCAGAAATCTTCTGGAGATTATGATGTCATATTTCTTCATTCAAAAATTGTTAAAAGTGCCTGTGAGACATGGTAATACCTGAGATTGGCTTGAGATATATCTATTTCTCCAAATACTTTTAAAATTGTTCCCTATTGAAGGTAGATAAGCAAGGAAGGAGTGTTAAGGGGCTGCTTTATATTTGCTCTTGGTAGAATTTTTCCACTGACAGTTGTTTTAGCATGATGCCACCGGCCTTTAATGTGCTTCTCGGAGGATGCTGAATTTATTGTTCATTATATTTCTTTATGAGCACTCTCAAGAGAGATCTTTTGTCTGGTCTTAATATCAAGAATAATTGTGCTTTTCTTGAGTAGTTACTATGTTTTATATCAGAAACATCATGAACTATGCAGATAACCTAGGGCTTTTTTATGTTTCATTTTGTTTTTGTTTTTTTTATTCTAGAGGGCTTAAAGCCAAATCTGTGGTTTTGTGTTGGCCTTATTTCAGGTTCTGTTTTATGGTCTTTCCATGTTTTGATTTTTGCTTTCTAACTTAATTTGCCTCTTATGTATTTTAGGTATTCTTGTAGGCTATCATAAATCATTTCTGTATTAAACCAAATAACGTACATGGGCAGTTTACGATCCTCATTTGCCTCATCTATAAAGTGAGAGTGAGAGAACTATAAATAATAGTTAATGATAACTGCAGTCAGATTATTATAATTATTCATAGTTTTAGATAATTGAATATATAGTACATTATAATTTTCAAAGCTTATCCAAAATTTCATCTTGTTCTTCATTTTGTAGATGAGGAAACTGAGGCTTGGCACATTTAGCCATTTGTCCAAGTCACAGCTAATAAGTGGTAAAGGCTAGACTTAAACTGATACTTTAATTACAGATTCTTTATTTTTTCTCTAATAATCTTTTTTAGTCCTTTAATTTGTGGACAATAAGTAAAGGCATCTTTTTCATATTTATAGGTGAAATAAAGCTGAGGGAGATGAGACAATACTTTGGTTCATGAAAATTAGTGTTTCAAAAGATCAGAAAAATTGAGAAAATTGGCTAATATTAACAAGTTGAAATTTAATAGACATATATAAAGTTGGTATAGTGTGATAGGATCCTAAGGATTTGAGTTCTAGTACATTGTGAACCAAAAGGCAAGGAGTTTTAACTTTTCATTAGCAATAGGATTTTTAAAATTAGCAGTATTGTCTTATACTAATTATACCTTGTTTGAACTATTAATATAAATCTGTTCTAGTAACAGCTTAAAAGGAACATGGACAAATTCAAGGTTGTATATAGGGGTGAAAGTGTTAAGAACCATATCCCTTAAAGTGATTTCTCCTCATAGAAAGGAAGGAATTAGTAGAAATGTGAAATTTTTTTTAACTGCAAAGAATAAAGCTGGAACTAACAGATGAAATTAACAGGGAAACAGATTACTGCAAGAAGAGCTTTCTAACAGTTACGGCTCTCCCAAAATGAATGGATTTAGCTAGGAAGATAGTGACTTGCCTCCATTGTCAGGAGCTCAGTGCCAAATGTCAGGGGTTTAAAATGGGATTCTTAAATTTGAGTGTGAAGCTAAATTGACCTCTAAGATTTTTAAAAATTTTAAATTCTAATATTTTCTTTTAGGAGGAACCTAAAATAGTGTCTTTCAAGTTTACTTGCCCATAGAACTCTTTTAGACCAGTTGTTTCTCATGATATTGAGCATTTGGGTTAAAGGAGGAAACCAAAAAAGTAGTTTCATAGATAAATGATTTGAATCAATAAATGATTGTATTTTTATTTATACACATTCTTTTCCCCCCCTTGTAGAACAAAAGAGCAAAATATGTGTTAAAATTTAAGACAAAAATCTATAACGTAAGATCAGTAATAATCCAAAGGAAGCCACATACTTCAACTTAGTTGGTAAATGCTACAGTTATACATTGAAAGTCATAAAGTAACCCATGCAACTTCCTGCCATACCTGGAATACGGCATTTTTTACTAAAAGGCAGTTCTTCGTATGATAAGAACTATACAACTAGTTCTAATATATTGGGGGGGGAATTTAGAAGACAAATTTCTTAGCTACCTTTTAAAAGCATCTCAAAACACTGGTTTTAGAACATAGTTTGGGAAATAATGTCCTTAAAATGTTTGCTAAGTATTGTTAACTTTTTTCAAGTATCTGGAAATTTGTGTATGGCTACCTACAAGTCTTTTAACACTGGGTATGTACACTCTTAACTTTTATACCTAATATACCCTTGAAATAAGTTTTTTAGCTTGTTTTATTAATATATAATAGCTTTATATTTTTACTTTATTGCTATAGGATTTCTTATATTCTTGTTGCTTCCTTGATTTTTATTTGTGAAAGCCAGCCTATCTATGCTATCCCATTTTCAGTATAGTAAATGAAGACAAAAATGTTACAAGTGTGCTTTCTGTCAAGGTATATACTGTTTAAATACATAATGAAGTCTTGAGGAATTGAATATTTTTATTCCCAAGCAATAGTAAATCAGAGAGGAGGTGACCAGCATGGTGTTTTTAACTATAATCAGCAAGGAGGTTCCTTAAAATTAGGACATATCACAACTATCAGAAACTGAGAAAAACTGTAATAATAACTGCTTAATTTTATTTTTAACTACAGAAGTTAATGCTTTATTTGTATCTCACAGCAAAAGTTCAAACAGACCCTCCCTCAGTTCCAATATGTGACCTGTATCCTAACGGTGTATTTCCCAAAGGACAAGAATGCGAGTACCCACCCACACAAGATGGGTAAGGATCATAAAGTAACTTCCAGTTTGACATTTAAAATTGTAGCTTAGCAGTAAAGCGGATTTGATTTTTCTCAGAACTTGGTCCACTATCCTAATAAAAGCTTGTGAATTTGTTGCAGAGAAAATACAGTAGAAGCCCTCTTATCCAAAATGATTGGGACCAGTAGTTTGGTTAATCAAAAAAGTGTATTAATATGGGGATCACAAAAAGTAAAAATCTTTATTGACAAAAGTTAACTTAAACATTTGTTTTTCATTTTTGAGGATGAATTCGCATTGGACTCTACTTTTCCCCCCATAAGTTATATCCGTAATACATTGTCTATGAGTCTAGTCCATTTTGAGTTTCTGTGAGGAAGAACAACTAAGTAATCTGAGGGATGATGCCTATCTATATCTTTACATTTTTTTACTGAAATAATTTATAATTCTTCACTTAATTTGACAGTATTTTTTTGATGACTTGCCTTTATTGAGATTTTTCTGAGTAGTCAGTTTAGTTTACATAGAAACAGTTTTTTTATGTAATACATAATTAAATAACATAGTTATAGTAGTAAGTACAGATGACTTAAACAAATTTTGGAACAAATCACCTGATTTATTGGAAGTGTTTTAAAAGGATACCTTCATGGTGGTCAGCAGACACTCATAGTGGCATTATGCAGACTGGTCAAGAGCATGTAAGCTGGGACTAAACTACCTGCATTTGAATCCCAGCAGTAACACTTATTAGCTTTGTGACTTGGGCAAGTAATTATCATGTCTCTGGTTTTATTTCCTCATCCATAAAAAAAAAGGCATTTTATAAGGTTGTTGTGAGGAATAATAATATAGGTAAAGCACTTAGCAGAGTAACAGACACAGTAAGCATTAAGTATTCGCTGTTATTATTCATAATATGGACCTGTCATCTACTAATATTCAGAATACAATGATTATTAGTATGTTTTACAGAGGGAATCAAGAGCATTGGTTGAGTGGTTGCAATAGTTGGTTAAGAAAGCTTCTACTGTAGCATTATTTCATTGACTTGTAAAGGCGTCGTTTTGTTTTTAAACTTAGAAAAGAACATGATGTTTTTATATATTTACCACCTTCCTTGTTCCCAGTACTCTTAGGGAAAAAGTCTGTAAAGTTATGGAATTTTATGGCATGGGCACCTTTTCTTTAAATTGAATTCATTAATCAGTATCCCTGTTTTGAAGCATCTGTTTTTAAAATGTAACAGACGTAATTTTATAGTAATTACATAAATTTTCATAGTACATATGATGTGATCACATTTATTTTTAAATATAATTTTTTAATTT